CGATGACATCTTATTTTTGAAGAAAACTACGCACCAACATTATTTAACCAATATATGAATTAGGTTACTGGTATAAGTGAGGGATAAGCCACCTATGATAACATTTTATTAATGATTATCCCACGTACGATGTTATATGAGCAAAACCTAAAGAAAACCGTTCATAAGGACTAAATATGTTCAAAACAATGATTTATTTTGCAAAAAAAAAAAACATTAATATCTAAATGTGTACAAACTTAGAACTTAACCTGCAGTAGCCGGTAATAAAAACTGAATGTATACAAAACAACAAGTTAAAAGATTTATTTTACACAAAAAAAAATGACTAAATGTATAGATAACCAAAAATACGTTACCCTATTAAAATCATTTTCCTTGTTGCAATTCAATTTGAAGGCTGCCATGATGAGCAGGCTATGATCCGTATTACTTAAGAAGAACATTATTTTCCATATTCCACACAGAGATATACCGATAAATAGTTGTTATCGTTATTCTTTTATTATTACTTTTATTATTGTTATAGTTAATTTAGTATTTATATTTTGTGTTTAGAGAAATGTAATATGTTTTATTTTAGGTTTACTTAAGAAAATGGTAAATGATTTTATAAATTTTCAAGCTGAAGTTACCTACTTAAGTACTCCTGCAATATGATTTTATCTGTTCACTTTAACATCCTATTATTTATATTTTAAGAAACATAACGATCTAAATTAAAAAGACAAGAGTTTAAAACGTATTTCCTCTTATAAAAATGATCTAAACTGTAACTTGAATGTTCTTTTAAAGTATACATACCAAATAGAAAACGTCGAGATCCTACAAACGATGATCATTGAACACCACGTATCAGTTATGTATGCCAAATAAAATGCGACATATTTAAGGAATTCTAAAACAAGCATATAACAACAAGAAAGGTTAGTGTCAAATGGATCTATATAATTAAATGGTTTGTGTTCTTATAAATGAAAGTAATTTGTATTCAAATAATACTTCCAAATACAAGTAACCAGAATACTATTGTCCGGATTCATCATTAAAGCCTGAATTGGTGTGTTCTTGTTAAAAAAACACATTTTTTTATGGGAATTGAGTAATCTAACAATTTTTTATTAGTATTTAAAAAAAATAACCATAAAAAAGTTAATTTGAAAAGATCATTCGGTCCGGAATGATTCTGGAACCATATTTCGTAATTGGTAAATGGGTAGGGTAAATAACACAAAAAATATTCAGTTTAGACCAAAATTCTAATATAATAATGTGTTTTTTTTTCTCAAATTTGACACTGTGATTTTCAATTTATTACAATTCTGACCACTTGACCGGTCAACCAGGTTACATGTTGATGTGATATGACGACTTGTCAGTTTTAATGATGTGACATGCTGAAATGATATGTTGACGTATCAAAATTGAATTTTATTTTCACAAAAAACACTAAGTTTTCACTTTTTTCGATTTTGACGCTACGTTAAATTTTTTCTTTCAATTTTGACACTATTTTTTTGTTTCAAATCGAACATCATTTATTATATTTTGTTCAATTTTGACCATTTTTCATTTGAAACCGTATAAATATATTTGTTTATTACAATTTAAACCGTATAAATATATTTCTTTCGTTTAAAACCCACATTTTTATTTAAATCAAGATGTTTTTTTTTTACATTCAAAGCATAATGTATAAACATGCATTAGTTAAACCATGATAATCAAACTAATCATAAGCTTCTAATAAGATGTAAAAATTCCATGGGTTGCAAACTTGATATCCGGGTTTTGATCGACTACACGTCTCCAAACCTCCAAACTCATTTTAAAGTTGCATATTTAATATCAAATACGATTTTTAAATAACTAATAAATATTTATACATAAAATCATGGTTTGAATGTAAAAAATAAAAAATAAATAAATAAATAAATAAATAAATTTTATTTATACAAAACTATGGTTTTTAATTGAAAAAAACATATTTATACGGTTTAAATGTATAAAAAAGATGTTTATACGATTTAAAATAAAAAAAATTGTCACAATTGAACAAAATTGAAAAAAATGATGTTCGATTTGGAACAAAAAAAAAACATAGTGTTAAAAATGAAAGAAAAAATTAAACTTAGTGTCAAAATCGAAAAATAAAAGTGAAAACCTAGTGTTTTTTGTAGAAAAAAAAATTAAATTTTGACACGTCAGCATATAATGTCAGCATGTCATGTCATCAAATTTGACAGATCATCGTGTCACGTCAACATGTAACCTCGTTGACCGGTCAAGTGGTCAGAATTGTAACAAATTGGAGAACACAGTGTCAAATTTGAGACAAAAAAGACACAGTGTCAAATTAGAATTTTGGTGTAAACTGAATGTCTTTTGGGGTATAAGGATCTGACCTGGTAATTTGGTTCCCCTATAAATAACATTTTGAACCTATTTTAGACTTTATATTGAACTCACTCATTTTGGACTTCAGTCCGAACAACATTTCGAACACCAATCCAACTGAAAGAATGTCTTCTTCTTGCAATGAAGCGGCTCATTTTTTTATATGTGTGTTTCGATTATCTTTATATTTATATGTCTTTATTTAAGATTATATGTTAAAAAGTAGATATATTTTTATTATTTTTTTATAAATTGTGCGATTACATAGGTATTATTTGTTTTCCTTTGATTTTTAGTAGTTTTTAGGCTATTAGAGGATTACATATGAGTATATGTGTGCATTAGAAGAAAAATTCTTAAGAGTATCCTAATTCTTAAAATTTCGGAACAACTTCGAAATACAAAAATCATGCCCGGAAGATGTAGAACACTTACAGAGTGCATATAATTTATCCAGAATGGTATACTAGAATGTTCATTCATGAAGATTTATCCAGGAAAAGATTACAACCTTTGAAGTCTTTAATTCTCATGGTAGATGAACGTTGAGGAAGTGATGCATGAAGATTTAAAGGAGAAGCTCTCTACAAGTATCTACCAAGCAAGGAAATAACATCAAAGATGTCAATTTTCACTTCTATATATGTTGTTCGTAATCCTTCAAAGTTTATACTAAATAAACCTTAAAGAGAGGCAGCATATGAGCTCTTAATCCAAGCACCAAATGCAAGAAAAAGATAGGTAATGGAGCTCCTAAATCTGGAAATATGGCAGACCCAATCAGAAAGAATATCAACAAAAGAATTACCATCTCTCTTAGCCAAACACTCCTTATATACATACCATTATGCATTAAATCAAGGCTAACATTAAATGAAATTATGGTGTAGTACTCTTATGACATGTAAGCATGTAAGAAGCAAAGCAACACACAAACTCTTCCTTAATGAGGAAGCTACGTCTTTGGTACAAGAAGTCAAGACCAAAGTGTGTGTTTTCCTCTTCCTTCAACCTAGTAGTTAGATTCTAACTAAATGATTACTCTAAGTGCCTAAAAAGTTGTACAAAACATTAATATCCGTACCATATGATATTTACTAGTTTTTTGGTCACTTTATTATATTTCATAGACACATTAAATCCCACTATGTTGGTAAAATATTATTTTTATAAAATATTTTTTTTCCGACTTAAATACAAGTGTTGATATTTCTTAATAATCAAATTTACTCTAATAAATGATCAATTAATAGTGACTTGCTATAAGGTGTGATGCTATAGGATCATATGTTATTAGCAAATATCATTCTATAATGACTCTAGGGTATAAAGATCTTTTAATCTCCCACTTGCACAAGAATCATCATAGATTAAGAAAGACAATGGTGAACGTCTAGCAACGTTACTTCCATTGATAACATACAATGAAGGATTCCATTCATCAACATCCAATTCTAAAAAGCTCAAAGCTACAGTTGATGTGTAAGGTAAGTTTATCAGTTATCCCATTGTTACTGACATCTTATTGAACATGAGAATAGCATCGCAATCAATCTCATTTGGTGTTCAACTTTAGGTAACGTGTGTTATATGTCTAGCTCTAAACACATAAGAGGAATAAATCTCATTTTGACTACATAAGCCTCTTGCATACTTTCACACTACACCTGATAATAGCTTTTATAACTACCTGGTTAAGGATCAATTTTTGACCACAACAAAGTATTGCACTCCCTACACTTAAGTCCAAGTATGTATTTCATGTATTAAGGACACAAATATAACACCTTTTTTAAACAAGTATCACTCATGATATCGATCCATGAGATAATCTTGATGTAGGTCTGTCCAATACCAGTTCTCTAACAAGTACCTATGAATCTTGGTTACAACCCATTGCCTAATTTCATCTGATGATAGTCAACCAATCCAATTCATATTAGTCTTACTTCATAATTGTTCCCACAATTATAACCGACTATGAACTTTTAGAATAATAAGATTATTCATGGATTAAACGCTTTAATAAGGAACACAACAAACATTGATGTGAAGATCATATCCTTATATATATATATATATATATATATATATATATATATATATATATATATATATATATATATATAGAGAGAGAGAGAGAGAGAGGGGGAGAGCTAGGTTCAGGTATTCAAAGTAATTATTGTGTTATTGTATGTATAGTTGTAGGCCAATCAAAATTAAATAAAAAATTAAATAATTAAATAAATCAATGAGGGTAATTTAGTAATTTGGTAAATCAATTCTATAAATAGTCCCTTTATTTTAGGGGATCCATTTCTTATTAACCCTATTAAAATTCACCTCTAGTTCACGAACTAAATCCACCTCTTTCTTCCTCACACTAACAATTGGTTTTTCCCCTTCCCTCTGCGTCGTAGGTCACCTTCCTACTTGTCTCCATAACCAATTAATCGTCCTCCTCGCCACTACACAATAGGTTAAGAGAACGATATGTAAGTTCCAGTGCTCTTGAATCTAGGGTTAGGTTATGCATACGACCTTAATCGTGTTATTTTTGTTCTTTAATTTTCAGCTATCGCAATGAAGATGGCGAGCCGTTGATGGATTACGATGACATATTTCAATCCGATCACGGTGATGATAACAACAATCAACATCAAAACCTCCTTGATCACAATCTCGATGATGAATTGGAACATAATGATTGGCAGAGTAATAGGCAGGAACGGTCTCGTCGGTTCACAACGAATCCGATTTGAAGTCAAAGCCCTGTAAAAGGTTAATCAAGAAGAGCAAGGCAGAGGAGACCTTTCTGGATTTCACGATTTGATGATGACGTGGAGGATGAAATGGTGAGTTTTGTCAAGGATGATTCAGATAGTGGCGGTGGGAAGAGGAAGAAGTTTTCCAGTGGCGGTGGGAGTAGTAGCAAGAAGAAGGAGAATAAGTTGAGTGCTTCCAAGTTCTCGGATAGAGGAGGGAGATTGAATGAGAAAGGTGGGTCAAAATTTAAGGTAAGTAGTAAAACGGGCGGGCGTTCTGGTGGGGATGATGCAGAATTTAAGATGTAGGATACAATTGTTGGTGGCGATTCAGCGGTACATTTTAGTTGCAAATTGGCTGAGTTCTGTGTGTTATCTCTTTTGGATTCCGTGGAGATAGTTTTACGAACACTGTCAAGTACATTGTTCTAACTAATCTAACAACACTGGTTTTATCCCAATATTAATCTATCTTGATTGTGCAACTCAAACATTTCTTTTTCTATGGCTTTTGGATGCCATGAACCGCCCTGCCACCTTCAATAATGGGAGGAACTTTGTTGTGTTTGACACTGTAATTTTTTTGATAGCCTTTGCTTGACTGATGCAGAATGACAAAGAGGGTCCAAGAATGCTAGATGACGATAACTTCATAGATGAATGTGGTGATAATAGAGACAAAGCATTTTCAATGCTCGTAGGCTTAAATTACAATTGGTAATTTCCTGAAAACCATAATGAAATTTTAAATATCTTCTAATTACTTTTTTAAGGTCATCTAGTTTTACTGGTATCAAGTAAGACCACTTGGAATTTTCACTGAACTTTAATTTTAAGTTGGATTATTAGTTTGATATTTCTTTTTGATTATCAGAAAAGGATCTGAAGCTTGGAACTGGTAAAGGAGATAAGCAAAAGCAAGGACTGCAAGTTTTCGTATATTAGATAAGGAGAATAAATGTGTTCTAATAGAATGGTATTCTTGTAGAATGTAATTCTCGTTTGGTATTAGTCTCACAAAATGTCATTTTCGTAAGAATGGTTGGAATCAATCGACTATGGACCATTGAAGAAGATCAATGGCATTTGTTCACGAATTTTATGGAATCACAAATTCCAATTCTGTTGGAATGGAATCATGAATTCTAATTCTGTTGGAATCTAAACTACAATTTGGTTTTATTTTCACAGTAGTTGATACTTGAAGAACGGACCACAAAATTGAAAGTGATTCTAAGCAACATTATTCTTTTAAAATGTATTAGTGTCATTAGATTTTGATGTTTTCTTTCCCGTTTTGAAAGTTTTTTAGTTTTATTTTTTAACAATAAATGTAATTCTTAACAATTGTTACTTGTCGTATTATATAAGAAATAATGTATTTTTTTATTCTTCAACTGATTGTTTAAAAATTTGTTATTCTACAAGAAGTTTTTAAAGTCATGATCAAGAAATAGGTTCAAGAATATTTTTATTATTTATGGTTCAAAAATATTTTTATTTTTGAATATACTCATAAACACATTCTGTCAGAATGTCCGAATTAAAAGAATCATAATTCGTAAAATCAAAATTTTAATATTAATAGAATCTATAATCCATTAAAATATTCAATTTTTCTTTATTAAATAGATATTATTTGACTAAAAGACCCTTGTAATTATATTATATGATATTTTTCATTTATACTTATTTCAATAATATATATTAATCACTTTCTTAAAATAAATAAAATTGATTGGTCCACATTCATGCATATAATAACACAATAATTACTTTGAATAGAATAACCTAAGCTATATATATATATATATATATATATATATATATATATATATATATATATATATATATATATATATATATATATATATATAGAATCCAAATCAAATACCATTTCTCAGATAACAAACTCTTATAGCTCAAGTGCAATCATTCATGCTTAGCTTAAGGAAAGACTTTATTAATGAGTCTAACTAAATTTAATTTGTGTGAGTTATGTGAATACAATCATCTCTATATTTAACTTTATTCTAAGTATAGTTAAATATCTTGGAGAATATGATTGGTGTTCTGATTTGATTTAGCGTCTCTTAGCTTGATTAAATATACTCTTGAAGCCACAAAAGATTTCTAGGTTGTCCGTGAATAGAAGGACTTAACCTAGGTTTTTAATAAACTTATTTATCCAATCATACTTAGTACAAATGATCAAAAACACGAAAATCATCATCCACAAAACGCCCATAAATGTTGGTATTTGTAGTCAAACAAGTTGCTACTAACTTATATTTGGTCCGACAGTAGCAAAAGTTTTGTACCAATTGTGATTGGTAGGGTACAAAGTTTATTGGAAAAATAAATGACTGATACCATACCAATTTCATCCATTGAACTAAGATTTGTTCCAGTGTTTTTTCATCAATTTTCAATTTTGGAGACTTTAGCCACAATGTCTTTGTCCTTTTTTTGAGGTAATGCCTTGTGTTATGAACTATTAAGTTAGAGAATATAATAATAAAGTTACAATAATAATAAGCATAAAACAAAAGATAAAAGGGGAAGAACGAACTAATAACCAGGATGAAGAGAATTTTTGTTAACTAATGAATTATAATTACACTAGTGATGTAATTTTAGTAAATATAAACAAATAAAACATCAAAAAAAATATTAAAAACTATTTGAACAAGACGTGAAAATATTTAATAATTTAATCAGATAAAACATAAAAATAAATATATAACGTTTTTTAAATCAATAAAAAAAGAATGTGTTTAGATGATAAAAGTTGTTGCCTATATATTTTTTTTCATTAACCTCCACAGAAGCAGTTTATGTATCTAATTTTCATAAAAAACTACAAAATGTTTTCCTCCTTTTTTTTCTTGTTGTCTTTTCTTTTATATATATATATATATATATTATATATATATATATATAATATATATATATATATATATATATATATATATATATATATATATATATATAATATATATATATATATATATATATATATATATATAGGGTTAGGTTATAATGTTTTTGCTAAGTATTGTGTGCTTGTGTTATGCATTCTAGGCCAATCATTTGTGGTAAATTAAGAAAAAGGTTTTCTTTTAAAATTAAATGAAAAAAAAACATTTTAAGGGGGTTTCATTAAATGAGTGGGCACGGAAGGGTAAAATGGTATTTAGCATCGACAGTTACCGTCTTATTTATGGAACGGATTCCACCGATAATCCCAAACATTTCGCATAGAATCAAAATCAAACATCCAAAACTTTCGGAGTTTATAACATATTCTGATTTTGTGTAATCGTTCTTTAGAATCGGAAGATTCGTCAAAGAGTTTGGATATAAATATCGACAGTGAACCCTAGAAGACGGAATCGACATTTTAGCGTTGCTGTAAACTTGATTCTCGTAGAATGAGGAGTACACGATCGAATTCCTTCAAGTCCAAGTTCAAGAACACAGTGGAGACGCCATTAAATCTTGAAGATGATGTCGATGATTTCATTGCCGAAGCAGAAGGTAAGAATTTCTTGTCTTATGTCTTTGTTTTGTGTTTTTTTAGAATGTAGTAAACTGTTACAAGTATATTCAGAGACGTTTTTGTAGGTATGATTTGCGTTTTCAAAATGAATTTGTGATTATTATGTAATTTCTTAATAATACATGATGGGTAGAGTATTCAACGGTAGTAGGATAAAGTTAGTGATAGTAATCTAGTTGGAATAAGTAGTTTGATGGTTTTGTTCAGTTAGAATGGTGTATTTCTGTGAATGTGAAAATGTTTTTTAATCTATTAGAATTAATCATGGATTTCGTAGAAAGGTGTGGAAACATGATTTTAAATTCTGTTCGAATTGAAGTTCGTGGAAAAATTCTATTAGAATATTAATCATCATCTGATTGTAAGTATATTAATGGATTGTTTATTATATATTTTGAGTTGTAATTACTAAAAATTCTGGTTGAATATATCTTTTTAATTTTGTTTTTCTGCTGTTCTAGTTTCTTTAATGTGTATACTATGTGTATAGTGTGGGCATTAAAATTATAATATGGTAGATTTAAAGTTTGTTTTGTTGATTGATATATTAAATATGTAGTATATTCTAGTAGAATATGCATATGTATATAAATACCTCTATTTCAATCTCAATTGTAAAATGTATAGAATACATGAATTCAATGTTATGTGTTTGGTGTGTAGAATATTAGGAATTATTATTATGCTAGTAGAATGTATGGTATCATATGGGTATGTGTTTGGTGTGTTGAATATGTAGTATATTCTAGTAGAATATGCATATGTATATAAATACATCTATTTCAATCTTAATTGTAAAATTTATAGAATACATGAATTGAATGTTATGTGTTTGGTGTGTGGAATATTAGCAATTATTATTATTCTAGTAGAATGTAAGTATATAAATGTATTGTTGATTTAATTCTTTAGGTTGTAATGTTTGAGATTCTGGTGGAATTTGTTTTTTTAATTTTTTTTCTACTGGTATAGTTTCTATAATGTGTATATGATGTATGTACTTGGTTACTGAAAGTCTAATAATAGTAAATGTATAGTTTTTTGTTTATTGATAAAGTGCATATGTAATATATTCTAATAGAACATGAACATGTGTACGGATACATGTATGTCAATGTTCAATGTGTAAAAGAGGGATTTAGAATGTTGGTTGTTGTTATTTGTTTGGTAAATATTCCAGTAGAATAAATTAAACAGTTCAATAAAAGAAAATGTCTATGACTTTGAGAACCATGGTTTTGTTAATTGATACATTGTATATGTAATATATTATAATAGAATATGAATATATGTATGAATATATCTATTTTAATGTTCAAAATGTAGGAGTGGAATAGAAAAATGTTTTTGTTGTATTATGGTGGTGATTTATTCTAGAAGAATAAATTAAGAATCTGAATAGAAGGCATGATAATTTGGTAGTTTGTGTTATATTCTGATGGAATAATAATAAGTGCTAGTATTGTGTTTTATGTCATCACTTAATACATGTTACTACACATTCTTATATTTGTTATGTATTATAACAGAACAAGTACAAGAAGAAGAACAACACATAAAACGAGAAAAAAGATCAAAGAAAAAACTTGATAAGCTAGTTGCAGAAAAGAAAAGTCCTAAACCTCTAAATGTACTACTTTTTGAAAGGGAGATAAGATCAAAGAGCACACATGAGAGAGTTCCAATTCTAAAGAATATAAAGAATAAGGGAATTGATGAATCTGTGAATGAGGAAAAAGATCATGTTAGAAAAACAACTAACGAATACCCACCTGGATTAAGGAATCTGTCAACCAGAATGAAATGTGATAACATCACTGCAGTTGTTAGGGGCATGTCATCGGAACAAAAAAAGCAATATTAAGTATGGGTTTTGGGTCAATTCTGCAAGTGAATATAACAAGTTATCCTGGCCAACTATGCTACTACCTTTTAGATGTTTATGATGCTGATAGTAGAAGACTTGTCCTACAAAATTCTGTTATTGAGATCACAGAGCAAACTGTACATGATATGATGGGGTTGCCAATTGGTGGAGAAGACTTCAATGAGTTGCCATTGTGTGAAAAGGGGAATGAAATTTTGGAAGAATGGAGGGGACAATATACTAGTGATAAGTTCAATGGTGAGGAGTATTTAAGGAGAATTCAGGCCACATCAAAAGATAGTTTGATGTTTAGGCTAAATTTTTTAACTCTTTTCATCAACAACTTCATAGAGTCAATGTTGATGGGAACAAATCAAGTAAAAGTGGTAAGGAAGTTGGTGTTAGTACAAGACTTTTCAAAGTTAAATTAGTGTAAGTTTATGCTCAATTGTTTGGGATCAAGGAAGAGTCTATGGAAAAGAGATGACAAATCAAGCTACTATACTGGGCCTATTACACTCCTTCTAGTAAGTGTTCAATGGTCTGATATGATATTATAGATTGGTTGTTAATGTTTTATTTATATGTTTATTTAGTTAATGTTTGGTTAATTTTTTTTGTAGTTGGTGTACGTGTACAACATGAAGTATTCTATCAAGTTAGACAAAAGGGTACCTTTTATTGGGCATATAATTGGTGCCAATTTATTAGAGATTCAGCGATACAAAATCAGCTTGGGAGGGTTCGGAAGGTTGTTTCGCGATGAGCATGATGATGTCGATATTAATGTTGAAACAGGGGGTGAAGATCAACAGCTGGTCAGTTTTAGGAAGGATTTTGGAGATGAGGAGGTAAAATTATATTTTTGTGTTGCATAAATATTTAGTTTGTGATTATTACACTTTAAACTTGATCATACATTCTGATAGAATATATGTGAATATTCTGATAGTAAAATTGTTGAAATATTCTTGTAGTGTAATTAAAAAAGTAATAATATGTATTGCAAGCGTATGCTGGTGTTTTAGAGCATAGTTATGGGTTAATTCTAACAAAAAAAAGTACTATGGAGGTTGCGTTGAAGGATGGATTGGAAAAGTTCCCTGATAGTGTGTTGTTGAAACAGTGGTTAGAAAAGATGAATGAGCTTTTTAGGGGAAATCATGAAGGCACAAACAACACAAAGGTGAATGATTCAGATGGAGATAATGAGGTGAATAGGAATGATATGTTGATAGCAATGGAGATAATACTTCACCTGTTAGAGGATTGGTAATTAGTGAAGTTAATATAGAGAAAGATGTAAGTTATAATACCCGTGTTAACACCAATGATTTAACAATGAGCCAATTTCATCGACTTCCGGGAGTGAATGATGAAATGATTCAGATGTTGGAAGAAACTAAGTTACAGGTGTATAGAAGAAAAAAGCTAATGTTAGGATTGATGGGGGAAGATATGGTTGGAATAAATTTAGGAGAACAGGTTGAGAATGCTGCAGAAGATGCTGACATTGAAGTGAGGGAAAAATGTATCCCTAAAAAGGCAAAGATATTCCATTCCTCGTATATTGAAAGAATTGTTAAGGTTGGGGATAAACTGAGTAAGTATGAATCAGGAATTTGCAATTCAATTTTTGCATCTAATAGAGATGATGGGTAAGTATATATGAGCTATTTAATTTTTTTTTAATAAAACTGTAATTTTTTGAACATTGATTTTATATGTAATTTGTGGTATATGGATGAGATTTGGGACATTGGAACAGGTCATGTGTTGGACTAGGGTTTTGCATTTCAATTTAATCAAGGAATGTTTCTACATTCTAGAGTAATTGACTGTTGGGCTGGGTTTTTAAATAAAATGGAGAACTACAAGGATGAATCATCGCTGTCAAGATTTTTCTTCGATACAACTATTGTGGTATGGAATTTTTTTGTAAAGTATGTTTAAATTGTAGTTTAATTTTTTTAGAATAAAAATTTTGTGATGATGTGGATGGTTACAGACAGAAGAGATTCTAAAAGAATTAAAAACGGAAGATCTGAAATGTAGGCTTTTTGCTACTCTGTTGCAAATCTACATTAAGAAATTTGATGTGAAGCCAAGTTTCAGAGATGTTGCACTTATACGTATATTGTGTGTGTGTATTAATTGTTGATTCACTTAATGTTAATTTAACTTTCTTTTTTACTGTGTACAAGGTTTTCTTCCCAATAGTTGATGATGCAAAGTATTACCTACTAGTCTTTGATCTAAGATCAAGTTCTTACTACATAGTGGATCATGTTAAGAGAACAGGAATCTTAGATAGGAAATATGGAATGATACCAAATTTGGTGGTAAGATACTGAATAATATTATGAGCATTCTGTTTTCATTATAAAAAAATGTTTATAAACTATACTTGATGTATTCAATGATAGAAAAAACTATTCTGCAACTACTTAACATCACAACATCATCCAATGGCAAAAGCCTTATGTTTTAAGGTGGGGCGGGTGATGAACATATCTTGGCAGGTAGAACAGGTTGGAACAGATTGTGGAATCTACCTAATGAGGCATATGGAAAGTTACATGGGTGGAAGTGAAGGGCGTTGGGAGTGTGGGCTTATAGATAAAAAGGCGGGTGATTTGACTGTTATACTTAAGTTAAGAATGAAATACATGGCAAGATTGTTGACAGCTGACTTCAACAAGTGTAAGAGTATAATAGTTACAGATTTTGAAGCGTTTCGTAAGCTGGATATTTTGGAACAAACAATGATTCTACAACAGTCAGCTGAAAATAGGAAGAAAAAGAGAAAAACGAGGGGTCGTCACTAAGAAATTGAAGTTGTAGTTTGGTATTTTGAAGTTAGATGCTGACATGACATTAGTTTAAACCTTTTTTTTTATTTTGTGTTTTTGGGAAAAGTACTTTGTCTATCAGAAGGTTTGAACATTTGGTATCTATATGTTAGATTATATGTTCTAATGGAATGTTCGTTTTGGGTTAAAGGTTGTGTTGATGCATTGTATGCTGTCATGAGTGATTATGTTCTTAATTTTGAATAACCCATTCTGGTAGAAGTATCATTAGGTGAATGTTAGTTTTTTGGTGGGCTATTTGGAAAAATAAAATGCAGAATTAAATTGAGAAAAAAAAATTATGACTAGGTATGGGGGTAGTATTTTTTTTTATGCTGGTAGAATGGTTTTAATGTTATTATTCGATTAGAATATTTTGTAATATTTCATTTTCTGATAATGGGCTTTATATGGGGAATATAACTTTTGGTATAAAGGTTTCTTGTTGAAAATAAATGTGTGTGAAAATGTGTGCTTCTGTAAAAATCAGTATAAAAGTGTTTTGGAATTAATATGTTTAATTAGTATTTAGTATGTTTATACTTCATTAAGCAATAAAACATCTAGTTAACATGAAAATGAATTTGAAAAAAAAATGGAAAAAGTTGTAACAAATAATTAAAGGTATGAAAAGAATTAGTTTACTAAATATTTCTATTTCGGAATATTTTTATTTTTAAGAAATAAAAAAAACATAAACATAAGTATATTTAATGATCGGGGCATGTTTACTAATAGTGAAAGTGAATACTTTGTGACTAGGTTGTGGTTTATAATTTTTTGATGTTGATAGAATTGATTTACAATTATGATTATAATAGAGTATTTTGTAATAATTTATGATTTATTAATGGGATGTATATGGAAAATGTGCTTTTACGTATAATGTATCCATGTTTAAGTAAATATGTGTGTATAAATGTGTAATTCTGAAAAACTTAGTATAAAATTGTATTGGAATGAATATGTGTAATTAGAAGGGCATGGTCACTAACAGTCAAAGTGAAAACTTTATTCAAAGACATAAAAGATAACATTGACTGTGAATGACCAATGTAAAATGAAAATGTGATTTTAATAAAACTGAAAAACTAACAAACAAAGAACTATGGCGGGACGTTCTTTGAAGGACAATTTCTTTTGTCATGATGAGCCATTTGTTTACATATAGCACACGTTCTCTTCGGTTTCGAGATTTCTTTTTCAATCATTTCTTTTTTAGATTTTAATCTGTTCCCACGACTTCCACATCTTTTTTTTCCGAATATCTGAAGGATTCTGAATATCATTAACATCAAATACTACATCAGGAACTACCACGCCTTGAAGCTTGTTGAAATGTTCTATATGGTCGGTACTTCATGATTTGGACAATCATCAACAAAAATTTTTTCAACTTATTATGCTCGTCAATGTATAACTTCAATTTAGTTGCATCATGACAAAGAAAAGAAACACAACAGTCAACTGTGTTGAGGATATTAATTGCAGTCATGTCGGAATTAGAATCGTCAAAAGATTTAGTGAACCGTCTTCTAAGTAATTTTGTTGGAATAACCTCCCTGCGCCAACGTTTTAGAATGTACTTTTCAGGAAGTTGTTCGATGTCATAGTACTTAAACACACAGAATATGTGTCTACATAAGATCCCGACATGTTCAAAATGCATACAAGTACATTTGAATGAACCGTCTTTTGTTGAGTGTGTGACCTGTACAATGTAAGATGAGTAAGGATAAGTTTTTAGTTGTAGGTATTTAGAAATTAAAATCAAAGGATAAAATGTACTATTTTTGTGAAAAAGAAAGATGTACTGTGTATTCAGTATCTCTTATAAGACAATCGTAATTGTATTCCTCGTCTTTTTCGTCAACATCGACATCAGTTGGTTGCGTAGTGGTTATGTTGTTTTTTTCTCCAAAACGATAATTGTTTCCACACCGTTGGAAGAAATCACATTTTTTTGGAAACAATTATCTTCTGCTCTTGATATCTCCTTCTGAACTTGATAAAAAATCTTGCATGTATATACCTTTGAAGCATGAGGTTCATTCGGACTACAGGTAATGAATTTAGGAAAAGCTGTGACAGTATTAAAATCATTGAGAATTTGATTATGTATTTGTCGTTCCATGACTGAATCAAATGTCATCATAAACATGATAAGATAAGAACCGGTTAATGTAGTTGTTTGGAATGACCAATTCTGACTTTCAGACGGTGATGTAGTTCGCATAAGACCAGACATTGGAATGTGCTTAAAAAATGCAGCAATCCAATATCTTCGCAACCCATACATGAGATTCATCCAACTGTTATCTGTAATTTTAAACTCCTGTAACATCGTGTACCATAAATTTTCGAAGTCATGTGGTTCCAGCTTAGAATTCCAAATTATAGAGTGAAAATGCTTGCGAAATTTTTGATTGGTGGCTGCATCTTCAATTGATAAAATTTGTATAAATGTATATGTAACGAGAATGAGTAAAGTATCTTGTACAGAAATTGATTCTGTTAGAATTGAGGTAAATCGTAATATATCCATGACAACAAAGTAAGGATAATAGTCTTTATGTGCATACCTTATTTGGAAACTTCTTAGTAATATGCCACATACATAACCTATGATGTGCGGACGGGAAAACGGTATTAATAGCTTTTTTCAAAGTTGGATCTTGGTCAGATTTAACCAATTGAGGTTGTTTTCTAAAAGCTCTCAAAAAATCTCTAAGCAACCATTCATAAGAAACTCCATCTTCTTTACTTAAAAGTCCAGCACCAAATGTTACACATTTTTTGTGGTTATCAATGCCAGTGAACGGAACAAAAACCATATCATACCTATTAAAAAAAATATTATTTTACATATCTGAAAAAAAAACAAATCTATTTGTAAAAGTATTAAAGAATAGAAATACTTATTCATGCTAAGTGTGGCATCGAGTGATACAACGTCTCCGAAGGAATTGTAGTTATACTTTGTTGTTTCATCAGCCCATAATAGAGCATTCAATCTTTTGTTCAAGACTTTATACTCAAAAGTAAACGATGGGACATTTTCTTCCTGTCATTCATCTGTCAACAAGGAATTTCGCGTCCCTCCCACCTATGTAACAATTCAGATTTCTCCTAGCATTCTTGAAATCAGAAACCAATCCACCTCGAACCGCAGGACCGACCTGGAGAGCATTGTACAGTCTATGTGCTTTTACAGGACCAATATTTTTTGTTGACATATTATGAATGAAAATTTCCTAGGAATAATCAAGTTTTCTCTTTGAACGAGATAAATACATATTGTCGTTGCTAAACAGCTTGTGATTGTGTTGTTCGACAAAATCACTCACGACATATTTAAGAGTACCTGGAATTATATCTAAAACAACTTTCGCTTTACAATTCCTCCTAAATAAATCTTTCCTTCTTTGCATTTTATTATGCTGAATGTCTAGAGTATCTACTTTACTAGTATTTGGATTACCTTCCCGATTGCATACCAAATGTCTACATGTAATTATCTCGTTTTTTGTTTTTTTGACTCTTCCAAACCTGACATTAAAGCCACATTCTAATGCATAGTTTCTGTAATTTGCTAGAGCTTTGTCATATGAATCAAATTTTTATGTTACTTTTGGTTTGATATCGTCTAAAACAATTGGGGTCCAATACAATGTGCCACCAGGTGAAACGTAATCATGTGTATCATGTGGTTGTCCTGTTTAAAAAACATGAATAAAATAATTATTCTGACAGAATTAAAATAGTATGTAGTAATTTCAATATCCTGAAATGAATTTAGTAACTTTAGTGAAATCAATATTAACCTATATATCTTCATCAACCAAATGATTTTCGTCTTCTGCATGATTTGCGTCCCCTGTATGTTTAATCAATGAAAACACATTAACATTTAATGTTAAACATGTTTCAAAAAGTATAAACCCTGATAGACAATGAGAAATTAAATAAAAGATTCAAAACCTTACCTAGATTAGGATTACTGCTTTCTCCTATTTCAAACCCGCCATCATTTAATGTATCATTATCAGGAAAATCGAAATCTCCAGTTCCATCTTCATCATCACAAGCAAAATATTGTTCCTGATAAATATGAGTATTGACATCTGGTACTTCATCGCCCATAGCTATGGAATAAGAAAAAATAAAGTACGATAAACTGACATAGAAAAAAAATAGGGATAAACACGGATACTATGCAAATTAAAAGGCTTGATCCTAGGGATCATTTGATAAATAAATAATGATTCCGATTTGATTATGTTTTAAAACATACTAAAGATAAAAAATATTCATATCTTACTATATTAATTACTAAACAATATTTTTTATCTTAACAAAGAATATGCAAAACAATTTATCTAGTACATAATTCCATTAGAATATGTAAACATGGATTATAAAACTCTACATAGCGTAATGTCTGTATATTATTCTATTAGAATAATATGTATAAATGGCTAATAAAAGTCTTTAATATGTGATATTTTCAAATAATTCCACTAGAATGTTATATCAACATGGATGACTAAAAGACTTGAATTTTGAAAATGTTTAAGTTAAAATCGTTGTATTCTCATTGTTTACACAATTTATTGTTGACATTATGTGTTTTGATTTTATGAACCGTGAAAGATATTTTCTGAAATGTATTGAAGAAGTTTTTTTTTTTTTTTTTTTTTTATATATTCTGTCGGAATGAGATATATGTAACTGTGTATGAATTTAGCCATGGATAATTCTAATTCTCTAAACAAACATATATCAGAAAAAGAAAAAAGAATGTAATAACTTAAATATATAAGTTAGACAAAGTAAAATTCATCAAACAAATTTTACTGAAATAATACCATGTAGTTCATCAAAAACATAATATTTAATCAAATCAAACATAATAATATCTAAAATCATCCAATGCTGATGAATTTCTTTTAGTTCCTGCTGTCATGACCAAATCCAAAGCATATTTTACATCTTCTTCTAGCATTCACATCAGAATTCACACGATTGTTCGGATCCTTGACATCACCCAGATCCTTAAGGGTATTCTGATCATCATTATCCTAAAAGATTAAAAGAGTTGATACATATGCATATGACAAAACATTAGAAAAAAAATTCAAAGAATAAAATAAAATAATTGCTTGCGACTTCCAGATTGATACTCCATCGATTCAAAGAATAAGCAGATTTGGTAGTCGACAATTGTTATTTGTGTGAAATACGGAATTTGGAATCAACAATTGGTAGTCGACAATTGTTATTGTGTGCCTGTGTGTGGAATACGTTTCAATCGGTATTAAATATGAAGATGATAAATAAAACAGGAATCATAAATCATTGCCTAATATAAAGGGATAAAAAATCAGACTAAATAAAGCATTAAAATGAAAGATTACATGATTACCCTTACATATTCAAATAAATAATAAATAAATTGCTAATTGTGATTGGTGCACACATGCACACAATACTTGTTGGAAACAATTGAACCTAACTAACTAACTATATATATATATATATATATATATATATATATATATATATGTGTGTGTGTGTGTGTGTTTGTTTTAGAAGGTAATAACAACAATAAAAAATGTTTTTTTTGTCATATCACATAGTGAGAGGAGAAAGAAATGTGAATACAAAGTTTTTACTTATTTATTTCATTTTCTTTTTTTGTGTGTATGTCTCATTTACCAAGAAGAAAATAAAATGAAGACAACCTAATCCTAGAGCTGGCAATAAAAATAACGAAAAGTCAATCAACATGTTACCAACTGAACCAAGAATATTGGTAACCAATATGTTTGGTAACCAACACGTTTTGTTGGTAGTATCATGCCAACTGTATAATCATGGTACGATAGTGATATAAAGTTTCACTATTACGGTAATACCATATCAACTAATTCAATTTATATATATATATATAGGGGTGACATCGGTTGGCAACTTATAGTTTTTGGAGAATCCGAGAACTAAAAGTGGAGTGTTGGATCAAAAGTAATTCATTAAGGACATGATCGTTATCTTACCAATCTCTTTAATGCTTAATTGTTTTTGGTGTTATTTAACATATATTAATATAAATGTCTAAAAATTTTCATTATAAATAAAATTTTCATATTTTTTTTGGAAATAGTATTTTTCATATTTTTTTTAAAATGCAAACTTTTTTTGAAATTGTTATAGAAAACATGAATTTTTAGAAAACAAAACAAAAAAAAAAAACACCTGAAAAAAATATTTGAAAAAAAAACTGCATTTTTTTCAAAAAAACTGCATTTTAAAAAAAATGCATTTCTAAATAAAAAGACTGCAATTTTTTCAAAAAAACTGCAAGTTTTAGTTTTTTTTTTAAAGTTACATTTTTCTTTTCAGAAAAACTGTATTAAAAAAAAACTGCAATTTTTTTTAAAAAAAGTGCATTTTTTAAAGGAAAAGTAAATTTTTTGGTGCATATGTGCATATTTTTTCAAATGCACATATTTATATTTCTTATACTATAATATTCGTAAGAAAATCACAACAAATTTCATATTTATTAATTAATCTATAAATGTAATATCACTAGTATTTTATTCGATACAAAATTAAATATAAAAAATAAAAAATGCTACAAATTTCAAAGCGTTTTCATGTCTGCGTGTCAATATTTCCTTATTTTCTTCAATTTAGATGGAGAAGAGAGCAGCAAGTGAGAATAACCAGAACAACAATCTCATCCATCCAGCCCTCCGACTACGATGAGCAGCTCATAATCCATGGTCACTATTATGATCAGCAACTTTAATTAGATCTAAACCAACAAGAACTTCCCTTCTCTACAATAACATTTCAGTTTTTCCTAAAACTAACCTCCTTCGAATTCATCTATACAAAATCATAAGATCTGAAAAAATTATCATACATCGAATCAATTTTCACTAACTTCACTTTAAAGTAAACATACACACTCCAATAATAATACAAATATAGCTATTACTGGCTACAAATCTTCCTTCCGAATGCGGATTTTGTTCCGAGCCCTAATTTCAGTATTGATTATGTGTGTCAATTTGTTGTTTTCATACTAAGGAACGAGAGAATCAAATTAACGAGTGGAAAGATTGAGGGGAAAAGGGATAATTCTCGGTCGTGCATCCAATGATGCGACAAAAGATGAACTTGAAAGTGCCTTTTTTAGAAGACAAATGTACTTTTATTATTTAGCATTTAGCAAGTGCGGTCTAAAACATGTATTTGACTCTATCATAGATTGGGTTAGGTAGGATATGGATCATCAGCTTAAAATGGACATTTGTTGGACGATTGAGATGACATGAAGGGAATATAATCGATCTGTCGATCCATATCACATTGTCGTTTTGTTGTTTCTTCGATTCATCATTGACGAGTTGGACATTAGGGAGTGTTAGTGGCCGGAGGTGGGATGAAGGTAGGAGAGAGGCTAGATGATGAGATAGAGAGAGAACAGGGGAAGGGGAAGGGCTTGACATTAGGTTATCTCTAAAATGCCCCCAATTATTGTGAAATAAGATGCTTCCGTCTCTTTTTTCCCCTACTTATTTACAAAAATGTCATAGATCGTCCTGACCTTCAATTATTTTGATCTAACGGCCTTCGTTTGGTTCTCGGGTTCTCGAGAAACTTTGAGTTCTCAAATGATCCTTCCTCTCTCTCTCTCTCTTACTCTCTGTCTGTCTCACTCTCTCTCTCTCTCTCTCTCTCTCTATATATATATATATATATATATATATATATATATATATATATATATATAGGGTGAGGCTCAATAAAGCATTATTATTAACAAGGAACCAATAAACCAATCTTGAGCATCGAAATCATAATGATCAACGGCCAATGGAATGGATTAATAATAGTTTCTCGATTAATAATGGTTCCTTGGTTCCTTGATTAATAATAGTTGATTGGTTCTTTGGTTCCTTAATTAATAATGGTTGATCGGTTGAGACATGGTCGACCATCGGAACACAAATAAAGTTTTTAATCAAGGAACGTGTTACAAGCAAGTGTTCAAGACAAGGTGGTTAATCTCTATTGAGACATGGTCGAACACAAATAAAATTTAAAAAAGCTTTAGTTTTAAAAAACTTCTTTGTTGATGCAATTGTCTAAATTACACAAAGCTTTACGTCTACAAGGAAAGTGTCTAAAATACTCTTCGTGGTCACTGTAAGTTCTTAACACATACATAAGTTTTACATACTACATTATGCACAATATTATACAAAACTTATGCTATTATTTCAACACATGATGTAACAAATAAGAAATCAAAAATGTCTTCATATTGTTTGTATTGTTCAAACATACGGTCCCACACAACTCATTATCTCATCCATACTCATAGCTTCAAATTGAAGTTGTTTGATGATGTTATTTTTTTAGCCAATATATGCTACCATATAACAATATTAGTTATTGTAACGCCTGAAGATCCGGTCTAGTCAATTTAGAGATAATAGGGGTCGAAAACGACTTTTCGACAAAAGATTATTTATAATAAATAATCTTAACCAAGTTGTAGAATATGTCTCAAGGGTTCCGTACATATAAAGAGTGCCGAAATACGAGTTATAATGAAGAAGTTATGACCCGTCGAAGTTTAGCAAAGGAACCGGCACGACACCGTGAAGACGTAAATAGTGAATCTATGACTGAGCTTTTTTTAGCCTTAGTAATCTAAATGAAAGTCATCGAATATGTTAACCTGAGAGCGTCCATAAAAAGAACGCCCAAATCTGACTCCTTATGAGGAAGTTATGATTTTTCGAAGTTTCGGCTTAGCGGTGTACAACCCAAAGTTCGAGTATTAGATCGAACGGTTTTTAGCCGACACAACCTAAACGAGAATCGAAGATGTCGTTATTAGTACCGTAACGATAAAAAGACAGACGGAAATGGACATCGAATGAAGAAGTTATGAGATTTTAACTGACCAATCCTATCCCGGCATGTTAAAAATATAACTTTAAAAATAAAGTAATTAGCCGACGGAGTCTAAATAAAAGTTGTAGAGTACGTCTCCACCTACGCATGAATATAAAGAGCATCAAAAATGGAGTTCTTATGAACGAGTTACAAATTATAATTGC